GCGGTGGCTCACGCCTGTAATCCCAGCACTTTGGGAGGCCGAGGCGGGTGGATCACGAGGTCAAGAGATCAAGACCATCCTGGTCAACATGGTGAAACACCGTCTCTACTAAAAATACAAAAATTAGCTGGGCATGGTGGCGCACGCCTGTAGTCCCAGCTACTCGGGAGGCTGAGGCAGGAGAATTGCTTGAACCCAGGAGGCGGAGGTTGCGGTGAGCCGAGATCGCGCCATTGCACTCCAGCCTGGGTAACAAGAGCGAAACTCCATCTCAAAAAACAAAAACAAAAACAAAAAACCCTTCAGTAGGCCAGGTGCAGTGGCTCACGCATATAATCCCAGCAATCTGGGAGGCCAAGGCAGGCAGATCACTTGAAGTCAGGAGTTGAGGCTGCATTGAGCCGGGAGTTGAGCCAGGATGAGAAACACTGTTCTTATGCAACAGAGGAAGATACAAGACTAAGTCATAATGAAGGTAAATGTTGTTGTTTGTTTTTTGAGACAAAATCTTGCTCCCAAAGACTCTGGGAGGCGGAGATGGGTGTATCACTTGAGATCAGGAGTCCAAGACCAGCCTGGCCAACATGGTGAAAGCCTGTCTCCACTCAAAATAGAAAAATTAGCCAGGCATGGTGGTGGGCACCTCTAATCCCAGCTACTCGGGAGGCTGAGGCAGCAGAATCACTTGAACCTGGGAGGTAGAGGTTGCAGTGAGCCAAGATCATGCCACTGGATTCTAGCTTGGGCATCAGACCAAGACTCTGTCTCAGGAAAAAAAAAAAAAAATTCAAGAGAGTCTTAATCATTTTATTGTTTATTTATTTATTTTGAGACAGGGTCTTGCCCTGTCACCCAGGCTCGAGTACAGTGGCATGCTCTTGCTCAACACAGGGCTCAAGCAATCTTCCCACCTCAGCCTCTGAGTAGCTGGGACTGCAGGCATGCACTGCCACACTGGGCTAATTTTTCTTCTTCCTTTTTTTTTTTTTGTAGAGACAGTGTTTCACCATGTTGCCCAGACTGTATTGTTTTATTCTCATATTATTTTGCATGGCACTTTAAACAGTATACTAGTAAGTGTTGAATTGTTGTAACTAGGCAAGGACAAGGAAGAGTATTAGTATGTCATCTAGTGAGAGTGAAAAATAGACATGTCATCGACCAAAATGGAAACAAAACTCTTCTGGAAAAAAGTGTAACAACATTTACTTCTTTATTTATTTAGGATGGAGTCTCACTCTGTCACCCAGGCTGGAATGTAGTGGCATGATCTTGGCTCACTGCAACCTCTGCCTCCCGGGTTCAAGGGATTCTCCTCTCAGCCTCCCAAGTAGTTGGGATTACAGTCACTCACCACCATGCCCAGCTAATTTTTGTATTTTAGTAGACACAGGGTTTCACCATGTTGGTCAGGCTGGTCTCGAACTCCTGACCTCAGGTGATCAGCCTGCCTCAGCCTCCCAAAGTGTTGGGATTACAGGCATGAGTCACTGTGCCCAGTCTATTTTTAAATTATTATTATTTTTGAGATGGAGTCTCCCTCTGTTGTCCAGGCTGGAGTGCAGTGGCGCGATCTCAGCTCACTGCAACCTCTGCCTCCCAGGTTCAAGCAATTCTTCTGCCTCAGCCCCTCTGAGTAGCTGGGACTACAGGCACATGCCACCATGCCTGGCTAATTTTTTTTGTATTTTTAGTAGAGACGGGGTTTCACCATATTGGCCAGGCTGGTCTCGAACTCCTGACCTTGTGATCTGCCTGCCTCGGCCTCCCAAAGTGCTGGAATTACAGGTGTGAGCCACTGCACCCAGCCAGAACATTTAACAAACATTTTCTGAAACACTGAATTATCTATCTTGTCATCACTGAACACTGACTATGAATGCTCCTGATATTCTTAGACACTGACTATATATATATATATATATATATGTATATACATATATATATTTATACAGGTATATGTGTATACATGTATATATTTATATATATATTTCAAGATTTATTTGTTTTTTAGAGACGTGGTCTTGCTATGTAGTCCAGGCTTGAGTGTGGTGGCTATCCACAGGCACTATCCGACTACTGATCAGCACGAATTTTGACCTGCTCAATTTCTGTCCTGGGTTGGTTCACCACTCTTTAGGTAATCTGATCGTTCCTGGCTCCCAGGAAGTCACCATGTTGATGCTGAACTTAGCACAGGCACCCAATGCACACAGCGCACTACAGCCCAGAACTGGACTCACATGATCCTTTTGCCTCAACCTCTGGGGTAGCTGAGGCACAGCCACTGTGCCTGGCTCAGTACCTATTTTTTGAATGCATAAATTCATTTTCAAAAGTTGATTGCTGACTGAAAGTCAGCATCTGTGAATTTCTTTTTTATTTTATTTTATTTTTTTTAAGATGGGTTTCACCATATTGGTCAGGCTGGTCTCAAACTCCTGACCTAAGGTGATCCACCCACCTCAGCCTCCCAAAGTGCTGGGATTACAGGCGTAAGCCACTGTACCCGGCTTTTTTTTCTTTTTTTTAGCATCTGTGAATTTCAAGGCTGGTGATCACTTGAAAATTAAGGAATTTATTTTGATTAGTTCAATTAAGGACAAATTTTGTTCCCCATTTCCAACTCTAAAATTTCCATTTTACAAAAGAGTTCTGGCAAGTGTCAAGGAGCCCATATTGTTTCATTTCTACACCATCCAAGGGGCGAAGCATTTATGAATACAAGACCAGAGTTACAAAATTCTAACAACATATAAAGCACTCTAATCTCATTTGATTTTGATTTTCCAGTTTGTCTGTCTCCTCCTTCTAGATTATAAAGCCCCTACAGGCAGGAAGTGTGTAGGCCCAACTGAAATCCAGAAGATAAATATTTATTGATGCATGCATGAATTAGTCAAAATGCCTTCCCCAAGGCTGACAATTCAATGTGACACATATTTTTTCCTTTTTTTTCCCCCAACTATCAGCTGCTGATTGCATAATAAGTGGCACATATATTAAAACATTTTTAAGCCTTGGTTCGGCTGGACCTGCCAGATGGGGAAGAAATACACAATACCTGAAGATTGTTCACAAGCTGGGGGAACCAGTGGGTGGATTCGTTTTTTTCTGAGAGAAGATCCTACTTCAGTGAATTGTGGGTCATCATGTTTGAGAGACCATAATTATGTTGAGTGAGAGAAGCTAGATGGAAAAAAAAGGTGCATGCTGTATGATTCCTGTGTATAAAACTTTAGCATGTCCAAACTTACCTGTACTGAAAGCAGATCTGTAGATGATAAGGGATATGATGGAGAGGAACGGGAGGAAGGGATTATAAAGCTGGGAGGAAACTTAGAGTTGACTTATGTTGATTATGGTGATTTCATGGGTGCATAGGTATGTCAAAACTTTTCAGATTGGACATTTAAATATGTGCAGTTTGTCGTTTCAATTATTTTAAAATAAAGTCGTTTTTTAAGAAAGAGATAAGACAGAGTCGGATCCCCGAGGGTCAGACTGAGGAACTCTCGAAGTCTCCAGGAGCAGAAAGGAGATATTAAAGCAATGTTTTAAGAAAATTAAGCTGCCGGGCGCGGTGGCTCAAGCCTGTAATCCCAGCACTTTGGGAGGCCGAGGCGGGTGGATCACGAGGTCAAGAGATCGAGACCATCCTGGTCAACATGGTGAAACCCCGTCTCTACTAAAAATACAAAAAATTAGCTGGGCATGGTGGCGCGTGCCTGTAATCCCAGCGACTCAGGAGGCTGAGGCAGAATTGCCTGAACCCGGGAGGCGGAGGTTGCGGTGAGCCGAGATCGCGCCATTGCACTCCAGCCTGGGTAACAAGAGCGAAACTCCGTCTCAAAAAAAAAAAAAAACTAAAAAAGAAAATTAAACTGATTGTGGTCTTCCTTTTAGATGAGGAATCATATTTAGTGAACTATTGCTAATAGCCTAACCAGGGCTTGTGTGATAGCAAAAGAAATGGAAAGGTGGATAGGTAAATATTAGTTCCAGGGAACAACCCAGTCTTTGGTTCAGAAGGTGTAGTGTATGCATGTATGTGGATGATTATCTCTGGAGGGAAAAGGATAGTCCCACAGTTAAACCAAGAAGATTTACCAGCAGCAGCAACAGGAGAGGCTAGAGGAAGAACATGATTGGGGTAAGATCATTTTGCATTTTGGACGAGTCGAGAGTAACATTTAAAGCCTCTACCAGCTCTGAAGCACTAAGAGGGTGTTGGGACACTGGAGTTTGCTGTAGCGGGCCGACAGAGGCCAGGCCTAGTTAGCGGAACGAGCTCACGCAGCAACTCCAGACTGCATCCGGAAGCCTGGAACCTTAACCCTCAACCTCCGATTCCCCAAGTTCCACTCTCGTAGCTGAGGCAGCTGTTTGTGTAAGTCCCGCTTAGGTATCCAACGGAGATACGGCATGAACACCCCACCACCTTCGGGAAACCGGAGGCGGTCGGCATGGGGACGCGCTCCCGCCCGGCGCGTGCGCGCGGCGCGCTTGGAGGCGGCCTGCGAGCGAGGGAGCGCGCGCCCTTCACGTGACCCGACCCGCGGGCGGCGACGCACGCGCCGCGCCGCTCACGTGGTCCGTCTCCAGCCCCGTCGCCGGCGGAGGCGGGCGCGGGCGCGTCCCTGTGGCCAGTCACCCGGAGGAGTTGGTCGCACAATTATGAAAGACTCGGCTTCAGCTGCTAGCGCCGGAGCTGAGTTAGTTCTGAGAAGGTTTCCCTGGGCGTTCCTTGTCCGGCGGCCTCTGCTGCCGCGTCCAGAGACGCTTCCCGATAGATGGCTACAGGCCGCGGAGGAGGAGGAGGAGGAGTTGCTGCCCTTCCGGAGTCCGCCCCGTGAGGAGAATGGTACTGGACCCACGCAGGCCGGGGCGGGGAATGGTCCTGGGGTTGCGGGCGGTAAAGGAGAGGACCTGGCAGGCAAGTGTGTGGGGAGCCGCGTTCCAGCGGCGAAGGACCCCCGAATTGCCTTGAGGCTTCCGGATTTGTCCTGGCGGGACGGGTGTGCATTTCGTTCGGGGGTGAGGGGCGGGAGCAGGTAGCAAGTTCGACACGACATCTCTTCGCGGGAATCCCCTGAGCCGAGACCCGTCTTCCAGCTAGGGCCTCTCGAGGCGGCAGAGGCGCGAGCCGGGGACTACCTGGCTGGGTTGATCTGAGCCGCCGCAGCGCGCCCGACGCTGCGCTCAGCCTTCAAGCTCCGCATCTCCTGGGAGCACGGTCCTCCTGGCGCCAGTTGCTGGTAGATAAGGGAGCCAAAAGCTCTGCTCAGGTTCAACATGGGAAAAGGGAGGGAGGGCTGGAAGGGCCCAAAAAGTGGGTAGAGGACACGGGTTTGGAGCTGTGCCTTGTTTGCTGTGCAGCGGATACTCTTATAGGTACATTTGCTTTTTGGAGCCAAAACGGAGGGATTTGACAATATTGAAGGTAGATCTTTTTTCTTTAGCAAGAATTAAGGATTTTGGTGGGTGGGGAGAGACTTCTGTGGAGACCAAGAGGTACTGTCAGTCAGTATTTAAGTCGAGCTACCTTATGCGTTGCCCCAGAGCGTGTTTTAAACCAGAAGGTACAGAATGGAGAGAGGGAGGCGGTGCATTGCGGCTTCCGATAGACCTTTTTATTTTTGTTTTTGGATATCAGGAACCAATTTTGAAGATTTCTTAAAATGAAAGCCATTTAGATCAGGGTCCTGAAGCGCAGAGGAGGTAATTTTGGTCAGTATTGAATTTGATAGGCTTTATGCAGTCAACTCTCCCTCTGCTGCAGACAGCTCTCCCTCTTCTGCACACAGCTCTCCCTCTGCTGCTGACTACTCTCTCTCTGCTGGAGTCTGGCAAGTTTGCTTTTCACTGAACGCTAATTCAAGTGCCATACAAAACTAAAATAAGGGTTCTACTTATCTCACAAATGTAGCTATACTTTGAGTAAATAATGTGTCTTCCACTATTTTACACCTTTTTCTTTTTTGTTTGTTTGTTTTGAGACAGGGTCTCACTCTGTCGCCCAGGCTCCAGTGCAGTGATGCGATCTCAGCTCACTGCAACCTCCGCCTCCTAGGTTCAAGCGGTTGTCCTGCCTCAGCCTCCCGAGTAGCTGGAACTGTAGCCACTACGCCTGGCTAAGTTTTGCATTTTTGGTGGAGACGGAGTTTCCCATGTTTGGCCAGGCTGTCTCGAATTCCTGACCTCAGGTGATCCGCCCAAAGTGCTGGGATTACAGGCAGGAGCTATTCCCAAAGTGCTGGGATTACAGGCGGGAGAGCTATGGAGCCAGGCTAAACTGAAAGATTTCAAACATGCAAAGATAAATTGTAGAATAAACTACCGTATACCCATTGGCCAGTTTCAACAGCTTCAACCATGTGAATTTTATTTCTTCTGTTACTCCTTCTGTTCTTCCTCAGTTGGATAATTTTAAAGCAAATCCCAGACAAATGTCATTTATGGATAGTTTATTGTGTTCCTGCTTAAACAGACAAGGACTTTTTATTTTTTGTTATTTATTTTTATTTATTTATTTATTTATTTTTTTGAGACGGAGTTTCGCTCTTGTTACCCAGGCTGGAGTGCAATGGCGCGATCTCGGCTCACCGCAACCTCCGCCTCCTGGGTTCAGGCAATTCTCCTGCCTCAGCCTCCTGAGTCGCTGGGATTACAGGCACGCGCCACCATGCCCAGCTAATTTTTTGTATTTTTAGTAGAGACAGGGTTTCACCATGTTGACCAGGATGGTCTCGATCTCTTGACCTCGTGATCCACCCGCCTCGGCCTCCCAAAGTGCTGGGATTACAGGCTTGAGCCACCGCGCCCGGCCAACAAGGACTTTTTAACATAATTACAATATTATTAGCACACCTAAATATTAATAATTGCTTAATGTCATTAAACATTCAGCATATTTCCCTGATTGTCTCATGTTTTAGTGAGTTGATTGGTTTGACTCGAGTTCCAAAGAATTTTGCACAGAGCATTTGGTTGGTAACTTTCAGACTCTAGTGCTTTCTCTCGCGGTGTGGAGGTGTTATTTACCATTTATTTGTTGAAGAAATCCCATTTGCCCTGTAGAATTTCCTACAGTTTAGATTTTGTTGAATGCATCCCTGTAGTGTCATCTAACATGTTTCTTTCTCCTGTGTATTTTCTCTTTTCCTTTTTTTTTTTTGAGATGCAGTTTGCTCTGTCGCCCAGGCTGGAATGCAATGGCAAGGTCTCTGCTCACTGCAGCCACCACCTCCCAGGTTCAGGCGATTCTCCTGCCTCAGCCTTCCCAGTAGCAGGGATTGCAGGCACCCTCTACCATGCCTGGCTAATTTCTTTTGTATTTTTAGTAGAAACGGAATTTCGCCATGTTGGCCAGGCTCATCTCTGCGTCCTGACCTCATGATCCGCCCGCCTCGACCTCCCAAAGTGCTGGGATTACAGGAGGGAACCACCATGCCCGGCCTTTTTTTCCTTCTTTTTTGAGATGAAGTCTCGCTCTGTTTCCCAGGCTGAGTTCAGTGTTGCAATCTTGGCTCACTGCAACTTCGCCCCCTGGGTTCAAGTGATTCCTGCCTCAACCTCCCAAGTAGCTGGGACTCAGGTGAGAGCCACCATGCCTAGCTAATTTTTGTATTTTTAGTGGAGGCCAGGTTTCGCCATATTGGCCAGGATTGTCTTGCACTCCTGACCTCCAGTGATCCGTCCACCTCGCCTCCCAAAGTGTTGGGATTACAGGTGTACGTCACTGCACCTGGCCTCTCCTTTGTATTTCATGTGAACTAGTAGTTAATCTAAAGACTTGATCAGGACCGGACATGGTGGCTCACCCCTGTAATCCCAGCACTTTGGGAGGCCGAGGCAGGCTGATCACCTGAGGTCAGGAGTTTAAGAACCAGCCTGGCCAATATGGTGAAACCCTGTCTCTACTAAAAATACAAAATTAGCCAGGTGTGGTGACACATGCCTGTAGTCCCAGCTACCCAGGAGGCTGAGGCAGGAGAATCGCTTGAACCCAGGAGTTGGAGGTTGCAGTCAGCTGAGATTGTGCCACTGTACTCCAGCCTGGGTGACAGAGACGCCATCTCAAAAAAAAAAAAAAAAAAGAGTTAGTAGCTGGGCATGGTGGTGCTCACTTGCAATCCCAGGTACTCCGAAGGCTAAGGCAGAGAGTATTGAGTTACCCTGGGAGGTGGAGGTTGCAGGGAAACGAGATTGTGCCGCAGCACTCCAGCCTGTGTGACAGAGTGAGACTTTGTCTCAAAAATAAAAAAGACTTGATGGGGAGGGCAGTAATCCCCGCACCTTTGGGAGGTCATGGCAGGTAGATCATGGATCACCAAGAGTTCAAAACCAGCCCGGCCAACATGGTGAAACCCCATCTCTCCTAAAAATACAAAAATTAGTTGGGCATCGTTGTGGATGCCTGTGATCCTAGCTTACTGGGGAGGCTGAGGCAGAAAAATCGCTTGAACTGGAGGCAGAGGTTTCAGTGAGCCAAGATCAAGCTGTTGCACTCCATCCTGGGTGACAGAATGAGATTCTGCCTCAAAAAAAAAAGTCAATCAGATTTCAGTTTCATACTTTGAACAGTACTCCCAGATAGTACTGTGTGCTTTTTGTTGCATTACTTTAAGAGGCACATGTTGTCTGTTTTTGTTTGTTTGTTTTATGTTTTTGAGATGGATTCTTGCCCTTGTCACCCAGGCTGGAGTGCATGATCTGGGCTTACTGTAACCTCCACCTGCCGGGTACAAGTGATTCTCCTGCTTTAGCCTCCTGAATAGCTGGGATTACAGGCACCTGCCACTATGCCTGACTAATTTTTGTATTTTTAGTCGAGACAGGGTTTCTCCATGTTGGCCAGGCTGGTCTCTCTTGACTTCGTGATCAGCTCTCCTTAGCCTCCCAAAGTGCTGGGATTACAGGCAAGAACCACTGCACCCAGCCTCTCTCTCCCTTTTTTTTAATGTTAAAATTGACCAGTGGATTCGTGTTGTCTAATGCCTGATCTCTTAGTTGTGAAGTTCCCCATCAGTTATTCATGTAGTAGTTTTTGTAGTAGCGATGTAGTTTTTGTCATTGATCTACTATTTTTCATTCTGGGTTTTTCTTTTTCCTTTCTTTTTGGAAAATCTTTCAACATATAAGTAAATTGAAGTTTTTTTTAAGTGACCTGCCTGTTAAATGTCTGCTTTAAGTCTGGTACCTGGAACAGGGTGCAGTGGCTCATGCTTGTAGTTCTAGCACTTTGAGAGGCTGAGGTGGGTGGATCCCTTAAGCCTAGGAGTACAAGATCAGCTTGGGGAACATGGCGAAACCCAGTCCCTACCAAAAAGATTATAAATTAGCTGGGCATGGTGACACACACCACATACCTGTGGTCCCAGCTACTTGGGGGGCTGAGGGTGGGTGGGTGGGTTGAGGTTGCAGTGAGCTGAGATCATGCCATCCAGCCTGGGTGACAGAACCAGATCCTGTCTTAAAAAAAAATAATAAAGTTTGGTATTCGGAAGCAAAATTTGGTGATTAAGGTTAGTTTAGGACGTAAGCATTATTTGCCTAAGGGGATTGTAACTGAGTCCATTTATGTGAATCAGAAAAAGGAACTTAGATGGGTGTCACTTTTAGGTGATGCTTTGCAATTATTAGATTAGTTTGAATGTGAATGCAGCATTTGACTTGGACCTCTTGCAGTTTATAAAAATATGATTAGTTCTTCTGCTCAGATGTGCTTTATTGATTAAAAAAAGAAAAAAAACATGATTAGTTCTACTTTAAGTTAGTACTTTTAGAGATTTTGTTGACTTTTTGGTGCAATTCATTTTGGATGCAGAAAATTGCTCTGGATTTTTTTTTTTTTTTTTTTTT